AGAGCTCATAGGTTTGAATAGAAATACAAATTAGAAAAGTCGAAGGGATGTGTCGAGTGATGGAGTGTTCAGAGTTGGCGATCGTACGTGCGAGGCGCAGGCGATTGGGCGATTAGTCTATAATGAAAAATATACGTATAGATTAGGCGATTAGGCGAGTAGGCGATTAGGCGATCGCTCAATGGGCGGAGCAACAAATCAATACGTATCCTTTTCTCATCGCCTACTCGCCTAATCGACTAATCGCACGTGCGATCACCAACTATGAACGCTCCATAAGCTCGGAAGGGATGTGCAATCTTCGCATGCCTTTTGAGCATTTTTAATGAATTCGTTTATGAGTACGGTTGAAACGCAACCTATGATAATCGCATTCAATTAACTTTTCGGCATTGAAATTAAATTTCATCACAGATATATAAATCTGATGTCATCTACATACTAGTTTACAATGGTGTTTTGTGATCAGATTAATGAAAAATACGTGAGCACCAACAGATGAAAGTTCTGAGAGGAGAGCGAGTTCGTATTTGATCACAGCAAAAAATATGAATATAAAACATTGACTTTTTCATAATATAGTAGTCATGTCATACTGTAGATCAAACCACAACAACATAAATGAGAAAATGGCAAAAAAGAGGATGACGTAGGCACAATAGGCAAACATCGACATGCCAGCGGTTCCGGAGCAGAACGCGATAAGACCGACCATGAGGATCACGGCAGTCCAACCAGCAATCCACTTCATACTGGCATAACGGAAGTACTCATCCTGAAGAATTTTATTTTCATTGAAATGCATAGGATTTTTTTTCTTTTGCAAGGGAATCTTCCACGGACCATGGACCATGTGGCGGGACCGGAAGTGGTTTGCCGACGAAATGCTAGTGAAGTACGAATCCACCTGTGCAAGCAGCTACGTTTACTTCGTTACATTACCATGCAGCACGAGCGTGAACAGGATTCATTTCAAACCTTCCGGAAAACGGTGGATCGCGCAGTTACCGATGTCCCGCCACTGGTCATGGTTTAATTGGAAAACAAAACTCTCTTTCACTCATTCAGCTATGTATCATAATCGGAAAAATATTCAGAATTCAGGAAATAGAAACCGAGGACGAGCGTCCTTTTTGGAGGGGCAGTGTGAGATGACTGCTAAGAGCCATTGCTCCTTTTTCTTTTCAGGAAGGCTCAGGGACAGTTCAAACCAAAGCTGTATTAAAGGAGGAATTTTACGATTAGAATGGAGGTCGAAGAAAGTAATTCACCTAGTTGAGTAACCCACGGACCTCCTGAGGGTGCGAACTGATGCGCAATTCGCATCGAAAAATTTGACCTCGGCGACCTATTATGCCTCAAAGTTGGCGGGTCTGGCGATCTCCGCCCACCGACCAGCTGATCACTCGCCGCAGATCTATACGTGGGATTGATTAGATAGCAGAGAGAGCGTGATGTTGAGGAGGGCACAGCGATGAGAGTCGCATCAATGCGCAAATCAGCGGGGCAAGGAAGGGGTCCCATTTCTCGGGTTCTGGGCCGTTTCTCATGGTTCTTCCTTCTTTCGTGTACCACCATCCCTAGTTAATTTGAAATGGGTTGCCTTCCCATCGTGAATTCGTCCTTTAACCCTTCAAATAAACCATTTAATCTTCCCTGGACCGAAAAAGCGGTACCAGTCATTTAGGAGTGCAGAAATATTGACTTTTTCTGTAACTGGCCCTAAACATGTACAGGACAAATGTCCTTCGATCAAAATCCTCTATTAAATGCTATTGTATTGGGCACCACCGAAAAATGATTGGCGAGAGCGCTTCATTCATCACCTATTACTACTCTTCAACTGTATGAACCTAGTTTTAGGAAAAATTGCCGTGCTCGGTAGAATCATTACTAAATTTTCATCCTGTGAGGGGTTGCAAATAACAATGATTTAACCTTGGTAGGCTGAGAAATGAATACGAATAAGGGTGGCGAAGGGCTGCGGGGTAATGGTTTCCAACAGATTACGGTAACTCACCATGACTCCACGACGTTTGTGTTTTCGCATTCTGCATTCTCGAGCTTTGAGAGGCTTCTTTATTCGGTACGGCACTGAGCGTATGGCATCTTCAGCGCCTTCCCACTTGTTCGGTCCTACTAGCCGGTAGACATAGGGCACATTTGCTCCCATGAATAAGCGTAGGGCGAATCTCGGATCGGAAAGCGCAAACTGAAAAAGACATTTCATCAGAAAGTCTCATTAAAACCTTTCTTCATGTGCCTTTTTTATCCTTGAACTCATCAATTTTCTTCTATTTTTCGAGCTGCTCATTTTTTAGGAAATGTTCTTTTCTTTTTCTTTTTAGTTCAATTGGGCTGCAGTTTACAGAAAACCGGTGGAACTCCAGTTCGGGAAGGGGGGCATTCCCTGTTATCTTATCCGTAGTACTAGAGAGCATTCTTTTGGACTTCGAACCCTAAGGATAAGATATAAGGTGAACGACTCATTTCAAGGCACTTTTGATAAGGACCGGTGTATTCCCCAAATCACACAAATCCTGCTCACATCAATTAATATCAATTTATAGCAAGGCAATTTATAGCATATGGCGGTCCACCCTGCGTCCCTACATCCCTGCGCCTAGGGAAGGATGTCCATATCCTAGTCAGGACTATTTCTTGGACCACAGCAGGGAGAAATCTGAAAGCACCTCAGGAGTACTTCCACACTACACCGGTCCTTATCAGAAGTAATTTTAAATGAGTCGATTACGTGTCATGAAAACTCTATCCTTATCCTTAGTATTGGAGAGCACAATGGAGTATCCCCCCGAACTGGAGTTCCGCTCAAAAACCCAAAGAAATATGCATACCTTCCAAAGATCAGGCTTGCAGCCAATGATTGAAGCAATCTCATCCATGTACTTTACGTAGTCAACCTGAAACCAGGACCGCAAACATATGAGGAGACTTCAATGCAAAAGAAACACTGAAACTCCACGACCAGGTGAAGCTTTAGCACGAGTATTGTGGGTACCAGACAGGAGGCCCGTCGCGCGGCAAGAAGGCAGAGTCAGCGGACGAGTCGCAGCGCGTACTGTAGTGATTTCGCGTCAAGTTAAATAGTACCATTGTACGTCCTACATCGCACACCACGCGCTGCGACTCGTCCGCTGACTCTGCCTTCTTGCCGCGCGACGGGCCTCCTGTCGGGAACCCAGTATTGTGACTTGGCGCCACAAATAACGGTGTGAAGCGCTATGGTCCAAGGGTTTAACGTATTGCCCCGCCCACCACCACTCACCCGATCAAAATCAATTCTTCTTCGCGTTGCCGGTACTGGGCAGGGGAATTTATTCTCGTCGCTGTTAAAGGCTTCCTTCTCTTTTTTTCCTTATTGGCCTTACACGTCCCATATTCATAGTAAAGCCAATTACACATCGTTTCAATCCCGGACTTTGCCCTTCAAGCCTGTTCAATAAATATGATGCTATAATATGTTCTGGGAGACGAACCCAGCCATAACCCGAATTTTGGAATTGGGCACAATACTTCCAGTTGGTTGGGCTATCCCAATCACGGTCAGGATCGCCTTGATCGTAACTAACCTGTATCGTATGTTTTTCGCTCTGGAAATATCGTCGCTTCATTGCTTGCCTCTTCAAGGCGATGTCTTCCAACATCTTATCTTTTGAAGGGAGGTTGAGCTTCCCGAGGAATACCTGCGATACCCAGCGAGCCTAAATAAAAGCATGAAAAATAGAATATAGTATT